AAGGACTACACAGAGTTTATAGGACTGCAAAAAGTATTAAGGAACAAAATGAGACCTGAGAGGGGTAGGGAGTGCTGGGGGAAGGGCCTGAACTACAGAAGGCTTTTCTGAGAAAGGGACAATCGAATAGGGAACTGCAGCGTCTGAGGAGCAAATCACACAGCTATCTGGGGAAGGACTGTTCCCAGCCATGAAAAAGCCTGTGCCAAGAGCCTGTAGCGGGCCCCAAGGAAGGGATTTCTTTCACAGGCAATCACCACGTTGGGGGTAGGAGTCAGAGAGGGCCCCAGGTGTAGGTCGTGTGGGACTGCAGAAGCCATAGGAAAGAATCTAGCTTTTAGCAGAATAAGATAGGAGAGTGTCTGAGTAGAGAAGTTATCGGATAGACCTTAGTTCCCCTCTCTTTTTAATTACTGCTGTGCTTTGGCTGTGTTTTGCTGTGTGTTGAGAAATGTTGATAGGAGCCAAGAGCAGAACAGAAGCAGGAGAGGGACAATGGCTTGGCCAAGGTTTGGGCCAGTGAGATGGAGGATCCCAGGAAATCTGCCTGCATTCTGAAGGTAGAATCCATGCTCTGCAAACGGAATGGATGTAGGTGTGAGCAATGTAAGTGGCAAGGGTAACTCTTAAGTTGGGGACCCGAGTAATACAAAGAAAGGAATTACCAAGATGGAGTTTATGAGAAACTGAATTTGGGGGATAGAAGCCAGAATTAGGTTTTCTGAACATGCTAAGTTTGAGATTACCTATTGGGTCCCAGAGGAGCACTGGCTGTTTGCCAGGTCCAGGAGAAGTCTGGGGTGAAGAGGTGATAGGAGAATCACCAGGACACTGATAGTGGAAGATGACGGACTCCATTAGTGTAATTAGAATTATTCTAATAAGGGTTTAGCAAGAGCTCATCTGTCTCCCAAAGCAGGGCACCCTTGTGTATACACTATACTATCACCATCCCAGGCTTAGAAGCAGTCTTGGACTCCCTTCTCCCCTTGAGGTTTGTGGGTATGACATCTTAGTTGCCCATTTCAAAGGGATTAAATGCCTCCCTCCCTTTCCTACCTCACCAAATCCCCAAGAGGTAGCCCTGTGGTTGCCAGTGGAGAATAGCTCAGCTGCCCTTGCAAGAGGCAGATGAGAAAAGCCTTCACTTTGAAATAGAAATACTTCAGAGACAAGTTGGCTCCAGGGTACCCAAGAGAGAGAGTGTATGTGTGTGTGGGCGCACTGATAGGGGAGGGCACAGCAGAATTCTTCAAGGCTTTACCTCACTCCTGCATGCGCAAACGTGGCTGCCATAACAAGTGCTTACTCTTAAGTAAATGTGTTAAAGCCAACTCTGGGAGGAGGACAAAAACCTGAAAGAGAATTTGGAGGGAGGATGGGGGACAATGCTGAGGTAGGCTTTACCTTGATGCAAATGGCAGATGCATAATTAAAGCATTTGCAATTAGTTTGGTTTGTTCTGTGATTCCTTCCCACAAACTGTATAAATAAGATGGGAGATTAGTGCTGGGCAACCTAGTTCTAAAAAACTTTTTGTCCTATCATCACTTTTATCAGGCTTTGAAAAGAGTTAAACCACTATCACAGGACTATCTAGCTATACCTCCTAGTTCAAAACTATTTCCCTCATTTCAAATGAGAGTACAATTATCTATTTACTTTTAAAACATGAATATTTATTTTAAATTTAATACATGTTTTTAATTTGTCTTATTTTTATTCAATGAAGATAACAGTCTTCCTAACTCTTACCATCCTTTTCAGCACACTCAATTCACTAGTGAAATGGTGCATGCCTAACCAAAATGCAAATGACCTACTTTTTTAATGACAGCAGAAGCATTTACTAGTCTCTGAAAGAACCTGGGGTGTTTATACCTAGAGTTGCATCTTTGCCACTTTCTAATAACTACTTACTTGAAAGTATAGAACTTATTTCACTGTAGGAAAATAAACAGGTCTCCTGTACTTGGAGAAGTGTTAACCTTGTATGACTATCCCATTCATTCATTTATTCATTCAACATTTACTTGGCTGTTCTAGATCAGGTCTTATGAATTTTTAATTTATTTAAACTTAGGTGTTTGTTGTCTAAAACATCTGAAGATGGCTTTTGAAGTAATGATTGCAGGGGATCCTGCTTAATCTTTACATATGCAAATTAATGCATTATTAAGAATAGGACATATTTCTAAAGGGTGATAGTTGCAAAACATAATGGGGAAGATTGTCACTCCCAAACACTGGAAATAAGGAATTTAAGTAGTATTCTTTTTTACATTAAGAAGACTAAAAATCTTATAACCCAAACAAGGTGTTAAATCTCATTGTCATTCTTTTCTGCTTTATACTGGTTTGTAAAGTGCTTCATTCCAGAATGTCTAAACCCAAAATAAAAAGAGAGAGTGGGGGTTATTCAAGATTCAAATAGAAGCTCCCATGTAAACAAGAATGGCACACTGAATTCAAATAGCTAGTGCAATAATTTTTTAACAGATACTTTAGGTTAATAGACAGAGACAAGGTTCTGCCACTGTATTTAAGGTTAGGTTAATAATTAACTTTGGTGCCTGTAGTAGTTTAATCAAAGCTTACTGTAAAAGACTGAATATGGATTTATAAACAATATAAAATGCTTGCAACCTTGCCCTCTGCTAGCCATCTGGGTAAGGTGTAAAAAAGTGTAAGGTATTTTCATTCAAAATTGAACACAGGCATCTTTACTTTGAGGAAAAAAGCTAAATAAAGAACTAATGTATCCGGAACCGCCAACGTTCCCCTGCCATCACAGTAGCAGACAGAGGACTTGATGCCCAAGATACATGTCCACTAGGGGAAGGCAGGCCGACAATTACCACGATTAAAGGAAGGTAAGGCAGACACTCCTTTCTACCAGGAAAGACTTAAAAACCAGCGCTGGGGGGCATTAAATAGCTTTTTCTGAGACCTACTGGTAGAACACTGTAACTAGGTTCAATGGCTCTTCAGAGGAAAACAAAGTTGTACACAAGTCTGTGTGTGTGTGTTCGTGCGTGTGTGTGTGCCCGCGTCCGCGCGCCTGGGTTTTAAACCCTTCACAGATCCCATTCAGTAGCAACTTGATTCCCATCCAGAGTAAACAAGGAGCGATTCCTGTGTGGTTGTGCTTGGCCACCACACTCCCAAAGCCTCGCTTCCCCAAAGACGGGGCTGTCCACTTCCATACATGGGAGGCCGTCCCGAGAGAAGCCTGCCCTGGCTGTGAAGACAGCGACTCCAGTCTCTCTTCCTCCCCCGCTGCACGCACACCTGGCTCTGCCCGGCTCCTCCCAGGACCTCCGTGGGCTGGAGCACTGCGCGACCGGGTGCAAGAGGCTCGGGATGCTGCACTTGGAGCTGGATACCAGCAAGCCACGAGCCCTGGGCTGGGTCCACACTCACCCTTGCGCCAGCCTCTGTCCACTGGGATCACATCAGCGTCCCCCAATTCTGCTTCATCCACCCTTCCCCGACTGCTGGGGAGGCTGGTCCAGCAAGTGTTGCTGGCCGGGAGGCGCCACTCTCCAATGGGCCGGCACCTACTCTTAGCCACAATCCTTGGTTGTCCACACAATCCCCTCTGGGTCATTTCCCGAATACTCAACACGCTGAACCTCAATCCCGCAGTGCCCGCAGCCCTTGGCTTTTACAGAAACTTCCCAGAATCTCCTGATCCAGTGACCACGCGTAAAGGAGTAGGTGGTACTGGGAGTAGGGGCAGCGAGGAAGCGGGAAATACGTCCGAATCCGGTTTCCGTTCCCGACACACACAAGTTGGGACAGATCCCTGGCTCCCAGTGTGCCACTCGGAGAGGACCTCAGGATCCTGCTTGGCTGCATAGTAGTGATAGGAGAAAACCGTAGAGAACCAGGAGAAGAGACACTTTCCACCGTAACAGGGTCACTAACAGGGCACTGCCTGGCTTGCTCCCGAGCGCTCTGCAGCCTCAGAGGCAGCGCTGTGGGACAAGGCGTAGAGTTAGGACGTCCCCAATCTGGAGCAGGGGCAGAATCTTCATCTGAGTAAAAGCCCAGACGATCTCTCACCAGGTCTCCCCACCCTTTCCCCTCCCTGGATACCTCCTTTCCAAAGAGCGACCGCACAGATCTTGGAGGATGGCGCAGCAGGCGCCAGCCCCAGTGGAACGCTCTGTGCGAGAGGAGGACACAGCCCCGACGGCCGGTGTCCTCGCCACTCGGGTGGGAGCTGAGGCAGGGGACCCGACCAAGGGCGGGGGCGCCGCGCCATACCAAGAGGCCGCTCCTGGGCACTTATTCAAGCAAACAAAGCCCGGAACCTCCGGTGCCAGCGGCGCCAGGAGCCGGGATCGCACAAGGGGCAGGGCGCGCGGATGCCCAAGGCCATTACAAGTTTCCCTCACTCCACGGAGCCGAGCCTAGACCCTGTGCTGACAACAAAAGATTCTCCTGGCTTCTCAAAGGCCTCCGCGGAACCCCTCTTCCCACCCCAGAATCTAAACCTGCCGCTGGACAAAACTAGCGTGGGTTCTTCCCCACCGCTCTTAGCCCTCCAGTACAGAACACTTTCCCTTCCCCAGCAATCGGCACCAGGACAGGGCGCCTCCGAGAAGCCCACCCTGCTAGGGCCCGCTCTGCTCTCTGCCGGCCCAAGAGGGAGGACTTAGCCTCGGCTCCCGCACACACACGCACACACACACACACCCCTGGGCAGGGCGGCCATCCGCGCGGTCGCGGTCCGGGGCGGCGCCGGGCGTGTGCGCGACGCGGTTAGGGAAGCTCCGGACGCGGAGCCCCGTGGTCTTTGGGGCGCAGGGCTGCGAGAAGCGGCAGGTAGGGATCGGGGCTACTCCCCCAGGACCAGGCAGCCCTCGGGAGAGAGAGACACGAGACGAAACCAAATGCAGCCACCACAAAGCCCACAGTGCGCGCAGGCGGCAGCCCCGGGACCCTCCGTCCCGCGGTCCAGGAGGTGGGGCTCAGGGACGCCGGGGCCGTACCTTTTCGGTGCATCTACGGGCAGGCGACCGGGGCTCGGAGCAGACGGGAACAGCGTGGATTCCATTTAGTAATCCATTATCCAGGAGATCTCTCTGGGCCTCGAGCTGCGCTCTCTCCTTTGCAAAGCCTTTGTCATTCCTACATGTGTGCTTGGCTCTTTGGGGGGCAACAGTCGCGTCGACTACTTTCTGGGATGCAAGCGAGCTGTGCGCATCTCCAATGACAGGAGAGGAAGGGGAGAGGGGAAAAAGAAGCCAAAAATTTTTAAAAAGAAAAAAGAGAGGAAAAAGAACAACCAACAGGGACGAGGGCAAATGTTCAAGAAACTCTTCTCCCAATTCAAATTCCACTTGGCTTCCACTTCGGTGAGTCCCCTCGCTGCTTCTCTGCGCCGATTAACAAGTCATTTCAGGGCGGGGGGCGGGGTGGGGGTTGGGGCAGGGGCGCACTGCTCTGACCCGGCTCTGCAGCCGAGAGCGCGGCGTCCCGGGTGTGGCGATGTAGCCCTGCCGCACGCTCCTACGCGGGCATGGCGGGCAGGGGGCCCCGCGGAGAAGCGCCGCAGCTGCGTCCCGAGCGCCTAGGCAGCAGAGTGCGCGGGGAGCGGAGTTGGCTGCAGCCTCGCCCCGTGCTGCTCACTACTCCTCTGTCACCGGAGAGGCCGACGCTCCCGGGCGGAGCCAAGTCCCGGACTGGATTGCGCAAAGCGAACTCTCCTCCTGCAACCCCGCCTCCTTTGGCTGGCGTCTTCTCCGACCCGAAGGAGAGCAGTTGTGTGTGTGTGTGTGTGTGTGTGTGTGTGTGTGTGTGTGTGTGTGTGTGTGTGTGTGTGTGTGTGTGTATGTAGGAGTGTGAGTATGGTAGCAAGGAGGAAAAAGGGAGAACCTACGCCGTATGGCTGCAGGTGGAGCTTGGGACCGACTGGCAGGGCCACTTCCTTCCTCCACGATTCCCGGCCCCGCGGCGCGCTCGGCGAAGGTCCCAGCAGGGGCGACTCCGGGAGGAGCCCAACCCTTGCCTCCCCACCCCCACAGCTGCTCTAGCAAGGAAAAAAAAAAAAAAAAAAAAAAAAAAAACCCCGGACAGCATTGCTGAGCCCTGCCAAATCAGAAAAATAAATAAAAATAGACGTAGTACAGGAGCGAGTTACAAGAAAGGATTTGCCCATCGATTTTCTTAAATGGAAAAGTTTTTAAAGGACGAGGGTAAGTGAACGGCAAGCCTTTCTAATTCTGATTACTGTATTAAGAGGTAGATTCTAGAAGCGATGGACGCTGTGTGTACCCAGATGAATTGTATAGAAGCCGGCACGGGTAAAAATACACTTGAAAGATAAGAACAACGATTAGTTTACGCACAGACACCCGTTAATAAAGCACGTTAAGTAAGTACATAAACTGCAGTACCGAGAATGTTATTAACGACGACGATTTAAAAACTTCTTAATGCCCACCATGTGGACTGTTCTTAAGAAATGAGTAAACTTTAGAAATAAGACGCAACAATGCCAACGAGCATCCAACAGCTTAGAGAAGAGGGAAATCGCAACTCCTTCCAAGGCGCTATTGTTATGGTCACATGAAGAATGGCAGGCACAGCCTTCCTCCGCCGCTCGGACTTACAATAGCCCAGAAGTCCGGCAGGGCTGGTGCCAACTGCTCTGCCACACTGCGTCCCCTCCCCCGGCCGCTGCGCCCTGCCAGCCAGTGCGCGCGGGGCGGCCGCTCCCGAAGTGGGCTTCACCGATGGCGCTACCGCGACCGCAACCTTTCAGGAAAATATCCCAGTTCTCAGTCCTCGGAGTGGTCTTTACTAATCATGATGTCGGCGGAGAAAAGCAAGTGGGGAGCGGGGGAGAGAGGGGAAGATCCGGGTCTCTGACCCACGTAGGCCGAGGGGCCTTGGATCAGAAGCTGTACCTGTGTCCTAACTGAGGCTAGAGCCACTAAGTCCACGTTCCCGTTTTTCCGTTCTATCGTGTACTCACATCTGCTCATCCGTGCTCTGGAGAATAAATGCACACGGGACAACCCTTTGTGTGTGTGTGTGTGTGTGTGTGTGTGTGTGTGTGTGTGAGCCACAAGCCACCTGGAAAAGGTGAAGGATGGTTAAAGGGGAAAAAAAAAGTAAGTTCTGTTGTTCTACTGAACGGCCAGCAGGGGCCGCTATCCTCACCTTTCCCAGGCAAGCAAAGGCTGGTGAGGACCCGAGGGGACGCGGGGCGGAGGGGGGGGAGGCGTAGGTGCGCGCGCAGCAGCGCGGCTCCGGGAGGGGCTCCGGGTGGAGGGGGCCGCGGCCTGGGTGGGGGCAGCTCGCGATGTCCCCTCACTGGTCTGCAGGGTTCGGGGAAAGCTGTCGCAGCCAAGTCGGCCCTGGATTCCCGGCTGCTCCACTTAGCACTCAGATTTCGGCTGGTGATGGCAGATCCAGTGCAAGCTGGGTCCCCAAGCTTGTCCTGGCGCAGCCCAGCTGCCCCGCTGTTCTCCGTCCCGCACCTCCAACCCCGCCGGGTCACCAAAGCTTCTTCCTTGCTCTCCGCTGCTGATTTACATACTAATTGTGTCTGAGAAAAGTTCTTTAATTGGCAGAATTAGGCAGAGCAAACGAATTGTTTCACAGACTGAACCAAATTAATTCCGGTTTAGCTCCTTCCCTTGGAGAAACAAACAATTAAGTTGTCTTGTTTGCTTTATGGATGTATTGGAAATGCCCCACATCGAGTTTCAGGATATCGTTTTAAAGGGAAATTATTTTCAGTATTAATACTTGCATGTTTAATTTGTAGCATAACATTGAGCCAAGAGGCGAGAGATTCAGTTTACCTAATTTAAAATTATAGAATACAAGAGGGAAAGAATTTGAGTTTACCTTTAGCACGGGAAAGAAATACCACCCACAATCTTCTAGGCAATTATTAGATCCCAAAGTCTCATCCTCCAATTAGAAGCCCGCGGTCGTGACCACGTGACTTCATATTTCCACCTGCCGAGAGATGCTCCTGGAGCAGGGTTGGAAAGCCAGCTACCGTGAGGCTCCAAACCCTCGCGGAGGGGGAGGGGTGGGGGAGGGGAGAGGGAGCACCTGCGGGAGGCTGGAGACAATTCTCATGATGTCATTTCCCCTTTGCGCGCTCAGACTCACTCCCAGAAGTCTGCCTTAACTTTTCAGAAAAACCACTGCTCCTCCAAAGCCTGTGAAGTCTTGTAATTCACCCTGTCACTTCAGGGAGAAAACCCAGTGAGAGTTAAAGAATCACAGAATGTTAGAACTAGAAGAAAACTTAACTGGTTTGAGGGTTAGGTGACATGAACTGGAATGAGGATAAGGGCGTTAGTCCCTGGAGGGGGCTGAGGTTATGTAACCTAGGAGCTGGTGATCTTGGACACAGTCACTTATCTTTCTGGAGCCTTCATGGATGTACCTGGGGATGGTTCCTACCTTCCCAGGAATTGTGTGGCTTAGATGTAAATGAGGAATCTGGGGCACTCATTGCTCTGTAAATGTTTACTAGCATCACTGTCATCCCTGTCAGCCTCCACATCTATCCTCACATCATATTTTACAAGGGTCGGGCAGAGGCACAGCAGAAAAATGTGGTTTACCTTGTGTTAAAAAAGTGGGTCAGAGCTGGGAGCTACCCATAACAACTCCCTTCTTCAATAAATGCTTATGTGACAACACCCATTTCCTCGAATCACCTGGAAAAAGTGTGGAGGAAGATTAAAATAAAACAAAAAAGTAAACTCACCCAGGATCCCTTTGAAGACCACATCTAGCTGTTTGATGGGTGTCTCTGTTTTGGGGACACTGGAGAGCACAGTTTCTACATTCATGCTGTTACCATCCATCATCAAGAAACCTGTCCACATCCTCAGCCCCTTCTCCAGGCTTTCCTCTTTGCCTGAAATCAGAGTTTTCAAAGTCCACTTGCACATTAGAATTATCAAGGAATCTCTTACCTGACACAAATGCTTGGGCTCCAGAGATTCCGATTGATCAGGTGACGTGAGCCCCAGGCGTGGGTTCCACCTTGATGACTAATGTGCAGCAAGGGCCACCAGTCACCATGAATCCAGATGTGTTCTGAAACACTGCTTTCCCCAACCTTTTCTGCCAGAGCTGGTTCTTCTCCCTCTTGTCCCTTTCACATTTCTGTTCCTCTAAAAAACTTTCAGGTGTTTGGTGGCCCGCTTTGTAAGTACATTGATGCTATCGTTATAGACTTCATTTTACCCAGTCTTCAAAGACTTAGTGCCAAGGTTGCTGTTCTCCTCTCTGTTCTACTTCTTGTCATGGTTCCTGGTAGTGTTCGAATACACCCAACCATCAACCCTCTGGAGACTCAGTTTCTTCCCATGCTAGGATGTCACACACTAGACCTTATCAGAAGACTCCATTTCTTTTTAAAATTATTATTATTAGTCATATTATTGCTGTACAGGGTACATTATGACATTTACAAAAGTTCTTACATTATAGCTTAGTGAAATTCATCCCCTCCACTATTCTCCTTTATTCTCCTTTCCCCATTCCTGGAATAGTTTCAACGGGTCTCATTTTTCCATTTTCATATATGAGAACATAATATTTCTACCATATTCACCCTCCAGCACCTTTTCCTTATTTCCACGCCACCCCATCCCACCCCCCATTGGTACCAACCCCAGACAGGGGTTGTCTTCCTCTTCTCTGTTTTTGAGAAAAGACATTTTTGTTTGTCTATTGTAGCTATACAGGGCATTCACTGTGACACTTCCATGTATATATGTATTATAAACTAAATTGGTTTATCTCCTGTTTTTTCTCCTTTATACCTTAGTCCTCTTCTTATGGTGATCTCTACAGATTTAAAGATTCTACAGTCATTCTTGTATAGGAAGTACATCAACCATACTCACCTTCTTTACTTCCTTCTTTTACCCTCCCTCTCCCTTCAGCCTCCATTTCTGAAGCACTAATTCTGACATCCCACTCCAATTACAATTTCCTCCCATTCCAGCTGGCTAGCTCAGGCACCCCCCAGCGCTCACTCTGATCTCTGCCCCATCCACTTCCTCCTTCCATCCCCTCTCCCTTCCGACCCAACAGTTTCACAATATCCATCTCTAGTCTCTCTGTTTCACAAACACCTTTGCTCCTCTATCTTTGCTTGACGACAAATCTGACTAAAAGCCAGTTCTGAATTGCATAAACTTCAGCCTTCTCTGCTCTTTCTCTGGACAGCTGAAGCCTACTAGAAAAAAAAAAATTAGGTAGCATAGAGATTAATCTTGATTGTCAACTTGATTGAATTTAGAGATGTCTAGGAAATTAGTAAAGCATACCTCTGCGTGGGTGTTTCCAGTGAGTATTAACCAAGGGGGTAGACCCATCCTGAGTGTGAGTGGGACCATCCCACTGAATGGGGTCAGGGTGGAATAAAAGGGAAAAAAATGACAATCTCTCTCTGTGTCTCTGCCTCTCTCTCTCTCTCTGTCTCCCCTTCCTGTCTGCCATGACTGCTCTGCCACACCCTCCCCACTGTGATGGATTGAAACCTCCAAAACCATGAGCCAAAAATAAAGCTTTCCTCACTTAATCTGATTTCTTAGGTATTTTTTGCAGCAACAAAAGTCTAACTACGACAGATGGGTTAGGCTATCAACCTCAGTTGTACCCTTACTGCTCCTCACCACTGTCCTCCTTTATCTGTCTCTAACTTTCTCCCTTTTGCCAGA